TATATATATATATATATATATATGTATATATATGTATATATATATATGCATATATATATATATATATATATATATATATGTATATATATATATGTATATGTATGTGTATATGTATGTATATGCATATATTTATATATGTCACACGCACATACATACACACAACAAGCACATACATACATACACGCAAACACGCACATAAACACGCATACACACGTATGTATATAAATAATCACACACACACACACACACCACACACACACACACACACACACACACACACACACACACACACACACACACACACACACATATATATATATATATATATATATATATATATATATATATATATATATATATATATATATATATATATATATATATATTGCATAGCACGTAGATATATTCCACGTATCTATATAAATAGCCAAGCATATACATACACATACATCATATAGATACATGTACAGTGTGGTAAAAGCAAATAGGTGAACAGCATATGCAGCATACTCCCTTGCTGTTGATACACTTGGGCTTTACCTTGCAATTAGTATGTTATTTCAAATGTTAATTTTAAGAACTCTTGATTAACATCGTCGAAGTCAGCACAATATTCAGACCGATTTTATTCAGTAGAAAAATATATTGTTACAGAGAAGAATATGATACTTTTCAAATAATTGTCAGGTCTTTTATTCTGTAGTCTAGAAACATACCTTAAAGTTGTCCACAGTGTAAATTACGATGTAATCTTCGCCCATATGTGTTTCATGTTTCATGTAATCTATTTCAAATTACTGGCGTATTAAAATATCGATTACTATATTGATTAGAAAGATCAGCTTTTCAGTATGCCTCGTCGACCATCTGGTAACTTCTTGCTCACTTTTCCTCCAAACTTCGACGTGCATGTCCTGTCCCGATCAGCATACCTCAATATACCCGGGTACACCAGAAAAGGAGATACATTTATTTGTAAAATCCATTTTTTGCCATTATCTTAAACTGTACACTGTTCATCAGCTACTCTTAATTATCATTTTTTTCTCTATATATATATATATATATATATATATTTTTTTTTTTTTTTTTTTTTTTTTTTTATATATAATTCTCAGATATTATTTTCAATGTCAGTGTTAATAGAGTAATATTATCGTAATTGTTATCATCAACATTATTATAACTAACATTCGTATTCTTATAAGTATAAAATATAATTTTCATTGCCTTGAAAATGATAAACCCGAAATAATAACATAAATAATGGTATCAATATACTTACCATCTGCAGCAAAAAATGTTCATAATAATCATAGTAAATATGTTAAGAGCAGTAGTTGTAGTAGTAATAGTAAAAATATAAATAATGAGGATAATAATGGTGTTAATGTTAATGTTAATGTTGATGCTGTTGATGATGGTAGTAACAATTATATAAATAAAGATAATGATAGAGATGGGACCAACTTTGACTTTTGAATCATTATCATGAATATTGTTTCTGCTGATTTCATTACATAAGGTAATCTTAATCATTATTTATTTTACTCACTAAAATCAATGTAACCATTATTAAGATTTTAGATATTATCCTTACAGTTAATACTGCCATCCCCTTATCAGTTATTATCATAAACAATCTTTATTAGTGGTGTAACTTCGGACCGATTCGGGACTTAGTTTAAGATAATAACACTCCTTGTATTGATTTTATTGTTTATGTTTTAAAGTTTTATAATGCTGATTTCTATAACGCAGTTGATGGAGAAAAATATATCATAGCCTCACTATCCGTAGATAAGAGGATTAACAGCATGATTGTACTGGTAGGAGTGGGCGATCCCTGGATAGAGGAGAGAGGAGGCGTAGCCGTAGGATCCTCCAAGACCTCCAAGAAGGCCGTGACCGTAGCCAGGCTCGGCCTCACGCTTGCCGATTGAGTGGCCGACGGTGCTGTAGGAGACGTGACCCAGAGGATAGCCATAGCCATAAGCTCCTCCAAGGCCATAGTTGAGGCCGTAACCATAGGCGCCGCCTAGGCCGAGACCTCCTCCCAAGAGGTAGCCAGGGTCGGCTTCAGCGTCGCGCTTGTGAAGGATGTGGCCGCCATATGGGTAGAGCCCATAGGCACTGCCTAGGCCTACACCGTAAGGGTAGAGAAGGGGGTGATGGAGGCCGACGGAAGGCTCAGCCTCGCGCTTCTGCTCTGCTGCCACGAAGGCGACCAACAACACGGCGATCTGAAGGTGAAGGCATAAAAAAATATTAAAAGTTGAAAAGATACCCACGCACGGAAACATACGTACCCAGAAAGTAAAGACACACTTATTTTTGTTTTTATTTTTCCTTAGAAGTATTCGAAAATAAACACTTCTCACCAGTGTCTTCATTTCTGCAACTGTAGTGCGAACTGCTGAATGATGGGAAGTTGAACCACTTACCCCTTTATATACTACTCTGTCCTGAGTGACGCTGCGCGGCAGAAGCCACACCCTGA